TGGAGGGAGGGCCAGTCGAGCAGGAGGAGGAAGAAGAAAAAGAGGACGCAGAAGGGGGGAAGAGGATCGGGAGAGGGGAGAGAGCGTGGAGGCTTGGAGGGAGGAGGAGAAGGATGAAGAGGAGGACGATGGGGAGGCGGATGTATGGAGGGAGGAGGAGGAGGAGGAGAAGGAGGAGGGGGAGGATGAGCAGGAGGAGGAGGAGGAGGAGGAGGAGGAGGAGGAGGAGGACGGCTGCGGAGGAGGAGGAGCAGGTGGAGGAGGAGGAGGTGGAGGAGGAGGAGGGAGGAAGAAGAGGGAGGAGGACCGTGGGCAGTGGACGGTGGACGGAGGGGGAGGAGGACAGAGGGCGGAGGGCGGAGGTCGGAGGAGGAGGAGGAGGAGTACGGCGGCGGCGGAGGAGGAAGTAGTCGGAGGAGAGTGTTGGGGGGAGGAGGAGGAGGAGGAGGAGGAGGAGGAGGAGGAGGAGGAGGAGGAGGAGGAGGAGGAGGAGGAGGGGGAGGAGGAGGAGGATGGGGCCGGGGAGGGAGTGAGGGAGCGGGAGGATCAATTGGAGAGGGGGGCGGGAGGAAGGGACGACGAGCCCGGGCCGAGGTCTGCCGGGAGCCCGACAGCCCGCTCTGGGCGGGGGGCGCCGACGTGCAGTGCGACCTGCTCTCGCTGGGGGCGCGCTGCCCGCCCATCCACGTCCCCCTGGCGCCGCCGCGGGCCCGCCGCCAGGCCCTGAGCCGGCTCCACTGCGCTTGCTGAGAAGGGGTCTCGGCAGCGCTCGGATGGCTTTTCTGGTGCGGCGCCGCGCGCCGCTGTCGAGATCGTGTGTCGCCTCCTCGTCGTCGGCTCGCTCTCGCTTGCCACGGGGCTCCTCCTCGGATGTTCGAGACGCGTGCACTTCCTCTCGGCAAGGACCAATCGAGGAGCCTTGTGGGCAATCCCGCGGAACAGCGCGCGCACGATGCCGAGAAAGATATGCACAGGGAAACGGCGCCCGAGCGACGGCGAGCGGCCCAGGGGACGCGGATGGCCCGGCCGCCGCCCGGCCCTCCCGTCCACGCCCCCGTGATTTTCTGGCGCTCGCCGGCGCCAGCCTCTGTGCTCGGCCACGCGCAGAGGTCGGGGGCGGAAAAGAGGGGGGTGATGACTAGGGGGGGGGATATATCATGGCGTGGGCCATGATGTTTCCCCAGATCTCATGGCGCCTCTTCTTGTTTCATCACGTCCCTGGCCTCCCCGCTGGGCCGCGCACATGCCGCCGGTCATGATTTGCACCCCCCCCTCTTGGACACCCCCCTCTTGGCCGCTCCCGAAGAGGGGGGCAGGGGAAGGGGGAAGGCTTCCCACAAGCGGGACGGCCGACATGGGTACGGAAAGAAGGTGTACACCGACCGACAGGAGTTCCTGTTCATTTTGAACCGGATTCGCCGTCGGCGTCGCCGCGGATTGTGCCCGTTTGAGACAGAGGGCCGCCTGCCAAACAGCGGCCGCTGTTGGTTCGTGACGACATTTGCTGTTGGGCATTGTGCCCATTGTTTCCGTGCCCATTTCGGGCGTCCAAATAGAAGACTCGCCAAACATAGATTGAAACGTTGTTCCAAGTCGAAGCGCTCGCTAGTTCGGGCACTTGTCGGAAAACTCGTTCTGCAATGCTGTGAGGGAACTGCCGGATTTCGGACACACATGCGCTTGGGCCGAATACCTCTTGCCAGCCAGCATTGAAGTAGCGCCGACCATGCAAGCACCGAGAACAAAATCCGTCAATGTATTTTAACGGGCATGTAGGAGCACCCCTGGTTTCTAGATACAGGGTCGGCGCCTTCTTAGAAGCAGCTTCCTTCTAAGAAGCCTTGCCCCCTCCCCCTACCCCCCTGTGAGCGCCGCCAATATGTGATGTTCAGTTTCACGGACCCTCGATGCTCAGCGTGCTCCTCATCGGCAACCTGCGCTGCGATGGGGGGAGCGAGGCTGGCTTTGCCTTACTTGCGGTCGGCAACTTTGGCTCAGCGTGTCGCTCCGCAGGTTCGGGCCCACCACCACGCTTCGGCGCGGCACGCTGTCTGCACCCCCAGTACCAGGCGTCAGCGCCCCGAGCCCTTCCCAGCCCCCCCCCCCCCGCCCCGCGGGGCGGAGCGACGCGCCGCCCGCTTGCGAGGCAGCGCGTGCCGCTGGGGCCGCCGCGCCGCGACACGCGAAGCACACCTGCCGGACCGCAGCTGCGCGTCGCCTCGCGCAGCTCCCGAAGGGCTGGGCATCGCTCGGACGTGTGCATTTTTCCTTCGGCGAGGACCATCGAGGAGCATCCTTGATCATTTGGCGAAAAAGCCACGCACGAAACCGAAAAAAACACAGGGAATGGACGTCCGAGCGATGGCGAGAGGGTGCCCGACTAGAACTCGGCGCCGCGCCGGGGGAGCAGACGGCGGCCGAGGCCCGGGCGCTCTCCGTCTGCCCGCGGGTCCGAGCGATCGCTCGGACGTCCCTGGGGCGCCGCGGGTGAGCTGGCGGGTGTGCGCTGATGGGCCCGTTTGTCACCACCACCACCACCACAAGCTGGAGGAGGGAAGGAGGAGGAGGAGGAGGAGGAGGAGGAGGAGGAGGAGGAGGAGGAGGAGGAGGAGGAGGAGGAGGAGGAGGAGGAGGAGGAGGAGGAGGAGGAGGAGGAGGAGGAGGAGGAGGAGGAGGAGGAGGAGGAGGAGGAGGAGGAGGCGGCGGCGGCGGCGGCGGCGGGGCGGCGGCGGCGGAGGAGGAGGAGGAGGAGGAGGAGGAGGAGAGGAGGAGGAGGAGAGGAGGGGAGGAGGAGGGGGAGGAGGAGGAGGAGGGGAGGAGGAGGAGGGAGGAGGAGGAGGAGGAGGAGGAGGAGGAGGAGGAGGAGGAGGAGGAGGGGGAGGAGACCCCCATCCCCCTCCAACTGATGGTGGTGATGGTGGAAAACAAGCCCAGCATGCGCGGCCTACGCCTGGACGTGCGCGCTTGGGCCCCTCTCTGACGTGCCCAGGGCGTGATCTCTTCGAGGCCACCTGCGCGACGGCAGCGATCTCGCGACGGCAGCGATCTCTCGGTTCAGCGGCAGCGGTTCGGTCCCGAGAGACACGACGCTCTATTTGCGGTTGCGGTTACCATGCGTGTGAGAGTGCTTTTCCCCCCCCCCCCCCTGCATGGCCCAGTTGGACCTGATCGATCCGATTCGAGGTCGAGTTCGGCCGGCTGGTTCTGATTCAATCCGGAGGTTCCGACGGTTCAGGTGTGCACGGCGCTGCTGTGCATCCCGGTGCGTCCGATCCGACCCGATTCCGACTCCGTGCCGATGTGGCCGGGTTCGATGCCCATTCGGGTGCGATCCGGCTGTTCGAGCCGATGCTGCCTCGCACTGGCCACCAACACTTGGGTCGCCGATGCATCGACGACGAGGCGCCATCTTCCAACCCCGTCCACTCTGACCCCCTCATATCGATGGAGTCGGAACTGCGATCCTGCGGCAGGCTCGCCGGCCAGCCTCCTGTTGGGTGCGGGCGCTGTCTCCCGCCTCCTCCCCCCGCCCTTCGCCAAAATAGCGAGGGCAGACACAATCCAGTCGGGGTCTTGAAGAAGGAACCCTTTTCGTTGGGGAGGGGCTCCGTGTTCCTTCATTGTTTCACAGCTTGCCTCGGGTTTCCCTTTGGCTTTCGATGGGCAATCGAAGGTTAACTTATGGAAAAAGGGGCCTCGTTCCTTATTTAGGGTTCCTTAGGTCAACGCCTCGACTGTACAGAAAGCCTGCTCCGACCCCATCCCTGAGGCCTCGGTTGGAGCCGCCGACCCCCGCTGCGTCGGCGGGCCCTGGCGCCTCCACGGCCCAGGTCGTCCTGGCAGCGCTCGGACGTGTGCCTTTTTTCTCGGCGAGAACCGTCGAGGACCCTCCTGGACCATCGAGCAAAAAAAAAGCACGCACGAAATCGAGAAATGCACGGGACATGGGCGTCCGAGCGACGGCACGAGGTGCGTAGTACACGTGGAGCACGCCTCCGCGCCGGAGGGCCCGGGGAGCGGCGCGCGCGGACGTGGGCGCGCAGTGCCGGGGCCGCGGGCGACTTTGCGCGCGCCGTGCCGCGTGGGCGCCTCGCGAGGCGCCGTCGGGCCTCGGCCGCGGAGCAGGGGCTTGTGCGGTGGATCGTTTCTCGTGGCCCTCAAGAGCTCCAGGCCTCCTAGATGGGGTCCGAGTAGATGGGGTCGGAGGATCGCGCCACATCGCCGATGCATCGCCAATGCGGCTTGATGCGGAGCCCGACTTGCTCCACGTCGACGTCGCCGATGCATCGCCGATGCCGACGTTGCATCGCCAGTGCATGGCCGATACATCGCAGATGTGTCGGCGATGCGGCGCGAACCTCCGACCCCATCTATGCCGATCCCACCTAGGAGGCCTCGAAGAGCTGGGAAACTGTGCACGGTACCGTGTCGGAGCGGGGCCGGGCTGAAGGTCATCCAGGCATGGTGCGGTGCATAGGCGCCGTTCTCGTGCCACGACGGGCCGTGCAGCCGCCCTCCAGGCAGAGGCCGTGCACAGGCCGTGCTGCTTGGATCTGTTGCGTGCTCGCTGCTTCACGCAGAATTTTCGCCTCTGGCGGCCCCACTCTGGGCGTGCTGACCCGCTCAGCACCCCACTCCGGATGCCCACCCGAGGCCTGCAGGCATGTCTTCGGGCTGGGCTGCAGAGGCTCACTGTGGCACCGCAGAGCGTGAGCCCCTGTTGAGGTGGCAAGCTGGGTCGGCAGGAGGGGTGTAAGCTGAGGGGTTGCTCACGTAAATTCGGAGGTTGATAGGCCTCCTACCCTGACACGTCGATTAGCGGATTGGCCGTTTTTGCTTCGCGAGAGGGTCGCGCGGCCGTCATTTTGGCGGGTCCAGGTCCGTCGGTTTCGGTCCCAGGCCGTTTTCACCAAAGGATGGTTTACTAAAGGGGGGCTTGTCCACGGCCGATAAATCAATTTGTTCCAACCGCCAGGTCGCAAGTAGTCGCTGTGAACGGCGCGTGCTCGGTGGCGTCACGAGGCCACCCAACGCCTCTCAGCATCGCGCCGCCCCGTCTCGCCGGCGCCGCGTCGAGGGGGGAGCGGGGCCCCGACGCCGTGGCGCGAGAGCCCCCGTCGTGCCGGCACAGGCCCCCTGCCGCAGGGGCGGCGGATCATAGCCGGCTGGCACGACATGTTCCTGCGGCAGAGCCTCGACGATTTCGCAGCCGCGGCGCAAGCCAGCCAGGGGGCGTCGCGCCTGACTGTCGGCGGCCTAAGCCTTCCCTGTAGGCGGCGGCGCCGTGTCCTCTTCAGTGGTCCTCTTGGCCGGAAGGCGGTGCGCGCACGCCTCAGAGGAGCTCCGGCAGCTCTGTCCCGATGTGTGGCCCAAGCTACTCCACATGATCAGCTTGCGACGAAGGGCCCTGCCAGGGAGACGAGGGATGGAGCCTGTGCTCGCGAGCAGGCGGAGTAAGCATGCCTTAGAATTCAGCAGGGGGATGGCCCATCGCTTGGAATTCTGGGGGGACTTGGTTCACGCGACTGTCCTTCAATTCTGCGCACTCGGCTTGCTCGCATGGAATCCCCCATAGAGCGTGCACCGTGTCGTTCGCCTCCTTTTTCCCCCCCTTCCCGTCCTCCTCTTCCTCCATTTACTTTTCTTACTCCTCTTACTCGTCTTGGCGTGTCAGGCACTCTCTCCCATAAGTGTTGATGCTCGAGGCAAGTCGGATCGCCCAGCCAGACGCCTCGATCAGTTCATTCCAGGTGCGCTGGCCAGAGCCTGTATTATTCGGCGATGTGCTGGGCTTTTGGGCGCCAGCTCCGAGCCCCCACCAGCGCCTGCCCAGCCCAACCCCAAATCCCAGTATTGGTGCACAGCCAGAAAGGATCACCAGGATGAGCAGCTTTCCAAGGCCATCCTGCCATCCTAGCATATGTGGCCTATCTTTGGTCATCGTCGCTGGCCATATCGTTTGAAAGGATTTAATTTGGTCGTCGAGGGTCCTTGCATCCTTACCGCGCATCCCTATCCAGCCATCCGACGATGTGACGTTTGCAATGCGCCGCCCCAAAGGTCACGATCCGTTTCCAGGGCGGTAGTTGTTCGCTTCCGAGTTTTTGATGGTCCATACGGCCCAACAGCGGGCACCAGAGACCGACGTCGAGGAACAAATCGCCAGGACTGAGCAGCAGTTAGCGTGCAGAGGACCCCGCATCGATTCTCACAGCTCCCGACGGGGGGCCACGATATGTGGGGGAGTGGGCCACGTTGGGGGGCCGTGCAGGGCCAGCGATTTCGGGGGCCTGACAGCCCTCCCTGGGCGTTCGACGTGCTGTGCATGACCCTGACCGACAAGCTACTCTGGGAAGCATTGTCGGCGGTCTGGGTCTGACCTTGCTGCTGTGTGCACGCCTTCAGGGACCAGGCCACGCGGGCGACAGTCCACAATCCCCTGGGCCCAGCCGCCACCCTGGCCCCGTCCTGCCCTGCTCGATTCCTCCCTGTCGCTGCGCTTGTGAGAAGGGCTCGCTCGTAGGGGTGATTCGTCTCTGGGTGGTTCTTCTGCCCCCAAGGTCGGGGGCGGCAAAGAGGGGGGTGATGACTAGGGGGGGGGGGTGGATATCATGGCGGGGGCCATGATACCTCCCCGGATTTCATGGCGCCTCTTCTTATTCCATTGCGTCCCTGGCCCCCCCGCTGGGCCGCGCACATGGTCGCCGGTCATGCTTTGCACCCCCCCCTCTTGGACACCCCCCTCTGGGCCGCTCCCGACAAGGTGCGCGGTCGGGGGCGGCTGCTTGGTGCGTCGCGCCGCCGGCTCTGGCTCACCGCGCGCCTGCGCGGCGCGCTGACCACGCCCCGAGCTCCAGACGTCGGAGTTCCTTCCGGGCCCCGTGGCGCCCCACCCCTCCCATTTTCGGGGGTGGACAGAACCCCCAACAGTGACACGTCGATTAGTGAATTGTCCGTTTTCGGTTCTCGAGAGGGCGCCGTGGCCGTTATTTTCCAGGCTTGCGCCCGCCAGGTTTGGGCCCGAGGGCGTTTTCGCAAAACCACCTTTTACTAAAGGGAGGTCCGTCCATCTCCGACACTTCCGTGCAAGCGAACTCGCCGGAGTCTAAAGAAGAAGAGCGCCTCTTGCTTTTCCCTTCCGGGCGCTTCTCCTCGGGCTCGGCCGACTCTGCCGGCACGTCGGTGGCTCTGCCAGTCGTCGGCGGCCGTCGAGCCGGCGGCGCTGTCGTCGCCCAAGGAAGAGCCGGCGTGCGAAGCACGAGCGCCCCCGTGTCCGGGGCTGTGGGGAAAGAACACACACTTTGGGGAAAAGACGCACACTGTGGGGAAAAAACACCGCGGGGGAAAAAACACACTGGGGAACAAAAAACACACAAAAAACACACACGTGTGGAAACAACACACACATGTGTTTTCCCACAAAAACACCCACGTGTGTGTTTTCCCCACGTGTATGTGTTTTTGTCCCCACAGGTGTGGGGCCCGGGGCGAAGAAGTGCCCACGGGGAGAAGTGATCGGAGTGTCTGTGCAGGCTGAAGATGTCACATCGTCGGTTGTCTGGGAGGACGGCGGCGGATGACAGGAGGAGACACGGGGGCGGAGAGCACTGATTCAAGCAGTGGCGAAGCGTCCCCGCTGGCCTATAGGCCCACCAAACAATGTTCCCAGAACCTTTTGCGGTTTGCACGAAATGTTCTGAGAATATGTTTGGCTGAGTCTTGTCTTGTTTTAACACATCGGGTTTCTGTTCTAAGAACATGGTTTTCGTTATTATTGCACTTTTGGGTTCTACGAACAGTTCGTGGTAGGCCTATAGGGATGCCGGGACGGTCGGTCCCTGCTCAACTTGTTGTGGCTTGAGGCAGCGGGCTTGAAGGACACAGTCCTGCGAGGTTTTCAGGCGGGTACAGAGGGTTGCGTGTGGTCCTCCTGGCATTGTGACGACGTCGAGACCACGTCACTGCTGGCGGCACGAGTGCCACACATGTCCGCGCGAGGACAGAGGACCTGCAGATGGGTCAACCGTGCAAAGGGACGACCAGCTGCTCCAGCAGTGTTCCTGCGAAGCTATTTTGGCTCAAGCCGCCCTCTCTCTGGTTGACGGCCCTTTCCGTTGACCGCCGAACTTCTTGTACCTGGCGCCTGCAGCCCCCGACCATGCCTGGAGATACAGTTCCTGCGTGGGCGCCCAAGGCTGCGTTGGTCGGGGGCACAGCGGCGCTCATCGTGACCTTGAAGTATCTCAGCTCCAAAAAGACTGTTGAAGGCGGAGGGGTCAAGAAAGAGGTCAAGGCAGGCGGCGGCAAGCATGAGAGCCACGAGGCAGGCATCAGCGTCAAGGCGTCCCAGGTACACCAAGTAGCGGAGTACATCGCGGACGCGGGAGCTAAGTGGGATGCGAAAGTCAAAGCTGAGGACGTGAACAAGGTTGGCGAACTCAGCAAGTACCTCGCGTTCCAGGGTGAGTACAAAACCTCCTTCGCCGCACGGCCCGACGTTGGCGAAGGGGTGCTCGTGAAGGTGACTGACTGGAAGCTCCTCACCCCCGAGGATTACGACCGCACCTGCTTCCATGTCGAATTTGACATCGCAGGCACCAGCATCGAACACTTGTGCAACGGCGCCCACGGCACGGCCCTGTCAGTTTACTCCACGAACGACGCGAAGAAGGTTCAAGAGTTCTTGCAGGCGATGAAGCTCGATCCGCAAGCAGTGGTCCCAGTCGATGAGATCGCGCCCCAAGAGGAAGACGGCATGACCGTGCTCACTACCGTGGAGAAGCTGTTCACACAGTACCTGGATTTGTTTGGAAAGCCCACTCGTGAATTCTTGAAGAAACTTTTCCCATACGCTGTGGACATCCAGGAGAAGGTGGCGATCGCCGAGTTGACTCTCGAGCGGAAGATGGAGGACTTCCAGGACAGGCAGGCTCGAGCACTGACCTTTGCCGATTATTTTTTGGAGTTCCCTTCCTTGAAGATCCCGGTCGAGAAGTACGCGGAGCTGGTGCCGACGATCAAGCAGAGAGTCTATTCGATCTGCTCCTCGACCGACTACCGGCCGGGCAAGTGCCAGCTGCTGGTCGTGAGGGAGGACTGGCAGGCAAAGGGGGGTGACACTAAGTACGGCCTTTGCTCCAGCTTCCTCACGTTCGTTCGGTCCGGCCAGTGGTGCGTTGCGCACTCGACTCACTCGGTGATGCACATGCCCGAGGACAAGAGCGTCCCGGTGTTCATGGCTGGCCTCGGCACCGGCCTGGCCCCTTTCCGCGCCTTCGTGGAGCAGCGCAGGCACGAGAAGTCTAAGGGGATCACGGTTGGTTGGGGTGCAAAACTCCTGACCGGTGAAATTGGAAATCGGCAATGGCATATCCGTGGTCGAAGACAGGCCTAGTCTGGCATAACCCCCCTTGATTGATTACTCCTGGCCATAATGGGGCGAATCCGGCTTGGTGGCCCCTTATCTCGCCCAATCGGTCGCAATAGTTCTCACGAAGATTCCTAGAAGTTGCTTCCTAAGGTTGGCCCGCTGACCCTCTTCTTCGGGGGCCGCTACTCCAAGGCCGAGTACTACTACCGCGACGAGTTCGAGCTGTACGAGCGCGAGGGCCTGGTGAAGTGCTGCAACGCGTGGTCGCGCGACACGTCCAAGAAGGTGTACGTGCAGCACAAGATCATGGAGGAGGACGAGGCCCAGCACCGTCTGTCCGATCTCCATCTCCGCTGGGCCACGGCGTCTCTCCCCACCGGCCTGCCCCGCCCCAAGTGGGGATCGGCCCCGCGCGCGTCGCGAAACCCGCAGGGCGCATCGGCACGCTCCTGCGATGGCCTCGCCTTCGGCACGTGCCCCCCCTCGGCGGAAGTCGGCAGAAGCCGGCGGACACAGAACGGCCGCGGATCCGCCGGCGGAAACGCGACGCAAGCGAAAGCGACGCGTCAACCGTGGAGCCAGGGTTTGCTTCACCAGGCATCTACTTTTGCAGAGGGCAGGAGATGAGTGGGCCAGCCGGGGCCAGGGCCATGCCAGTGGGGACGGGGATCGGTGAAGCCGAGATCCCGGACGTCGTGATTCACGCGCCACTCGACCCACGGAGGGCTCGACCCGCTCCCCATCGGCAGGATCTCTCATCCTCGGCTCTTCGCGACGGTCCCGGGGCCCAGCGGTGGGGCCCCGTGGGGCCGAACATGGCACAAGGGATGTTCCGTCGTGTCTTTTTGTTGTCACCCCGCGGGAGGGTCTGGGGTCAAGCACGGTGCTCCGAGGCCATCTGGAGGGACCTCGGGAGGGAGGGCTCGAAGGGCGCCTTCTTCCTGTGCGGCTCCAAGCAGCCCGAGAAGGACGTCTTCGCGGCCATCGCCCGCGGTCGGTGGGCTCCTTCCCCGGAGGGTCGTGGGACCCCCCCTGGCGCGCACTAAACCTAAGACTATAAACATAAGCATAAACATAGCTTTTGGCGCTCCGCACGGATTTCTGGGATCTGCGCTGGACCACCCCCCCCTGGCGCGCGGAGCGCGCCAGGGGCGGCGCTGGAGGCGCCGCTGGGGGTGCCCAGTGCGGATCAGAGAACCCCCCGCGGAGAGCCGAAAGTTTTGTATCTGGCATTTTGGTTTGTTTGTTTGTTTTTGTGGTTTGTTTGATTTTTTGTTAAATGCTTTCTTTATTATACGAAGTACACGACATCGAAGGAGGAACACGGCGTAAACATAAACTTTCGGAGCTCCGTGCGGATTTCTCCCCCTGGGCTGGGCTTTTGGAGACTGCGCCGGGCCCTCCAGGCTGCTTGGGCGCCGCCCTTGGTGCGCTCTGCGCGCCAGGGAGGGGTCATGGCGCCAACACCGCCGAGCGGATTTCGTTCGGAAAACGATACACATTGTTCATTCCGAATTCTTAGACATGAACGACGTGTATGGGTGTCCTGGAGAAGTTCGTTCGGAATTTCGAGGTGAATTTCGCGCGGATTTTTTGGGGCCAGGAATGCAAACCCAAAAGAGTCCACGCGAAGTCCATTGTGTTTTTCGCTCGCCGCTTCGGGCAAGAATCCACGCAGAAATCACCGCAGAACTCCGCTGCAGCACGTCTGCAGAGCCAGGGAAATGAGGGGGGGTCCAGCGCGCTGATCCCAGAGATCCGCTCGCACCTCCACGAGCGTCGTGTCTTGGGCTTTGCGGTCGGCGCGCAAGTGGGGGGGCGATACAGGGGGGGGCAGCGAGGGCTGCAGAGACGGAGCCCTTCAGGGTACCTCCAGGGACCCTTTTGGGGCCCCCAAGGGAGCTCCTAAATCGGAGGTGGATAGACCTCCTACCCTGACGCGTCGATTAGCGAATTGGCCGTTTTGGGTTCGCGAGAGGGCGCCGCGGCCGTCATTTTTGCGGGTCCGGATCCGTCGGTTCCGGTCCCAGGCCGTTTTCACTAAGGGGAGGTTTTCTAAAAGGGAGGTTCGTCCACCGCTCATTTTTAGGGCCTGAAAAAGGGCACCTGTCTCCGCCCCAGTGTTCGCCGCCCATTAGTTCGCGCCCAAGCGTGTGCTTATCCCCCCTCAGCAGAATGGCTTGCCAGGCCTGGCCGGCACGACCTCCAGCAGGCAGCGCAGTCTCGCCTATAGGCCCATCGAACAATGTTCTAAGAACCTTTTGTGGTTTCCACGAATTGTTCTTAGGACATGTCTGGCTGAGTCGATCTTGTTTTCGCACATCGGGCTTATTTTCTGAGAGCATCGTTTTTGGGGTTCTCAGAACACTCTTGGGTTCTAAGAACAGTTCGTGGTAGGCTTATAGGAATGCTGGGACGGTCGGTCCCTGCTCAAGTTGTGGCAGCACCCGTTGAAGCCTCGCGGGTGGTTCTCCGCCCCCCTGCTCCGAAACAGCAAAAAAACACTGCGCCGGATGTTTTTGGGCCGACCTCGCTCCTCTTGGCCTCTGGAGGGGGCCTCTCGGAAGGAGACAGATTACGCGCGCAGGCCCGCAGGGAGCTCCTCTGGAGAGCCTCGTGGCGCGCTTCGCGCGCGAGGGAGGGCGGGTCCAGAAATCCGCGCGTACCTCGGGGCTCATCTCGACTCCTCCGATCCTGTTCGATTCGATTTCGAGGGATTCCGATTCGATTCGACTTCGGATTCCGATTTGGGATCCGATTTCTCAGTGGAGGCCTACCAGCATGTCTACCGGTTCGACTTTTCCCGACTCGGCTGCCGACTTCCGCCGATCCAATTCATTTCGATCGCCGATCTTGGCGGATCGCTAGCAGTTGAATTCATTCTCTGTGTTGTTCGTTGCTGGGCTTCCTGCCCCCCGCCCAGGCCCCCAGGGCCCTGACCCGAACTGCTAAAGTGCCGCCACCTTCGAGGGCTGCTGGGAGGTCCAGCGGAGTGACGCGCCACGCAGATTCGGATGCAACCTCGCCATCCCAAGAGGGCTGCGAACTGCGGAAATGTCGCCGCCTTCGAGATCTCGCCCGCTTCCCGCGCCAGTTATGAACCGCGGATCGCCACGACGCCAAGGCGAATGGGTGCCGGCGCCGCTGCCCCTCAGCAAGCCATGCCCCAAAGTCGGCATCCTTTGTCATCCCTCCTCCCTCGTTGTCGTCCTCTTTCTTGTTCCCCTCCCGCCCCCTTCGGGTCCAGGTCGGTCGGTTTCGGTCCCAGTCCGTTTTCAATCAAGGGGTGGTTTACTAAAGGGAGGTTTGTCCACCGCCGATTCCGTCCCTCTCCTTCCCCTCATCCTCGCCCCCTTCCTCTTCGCCCCTCGGGCCTCACTGCTCGTCCTTGCACGGCTTCCGTGCGAGTCGTGCCACGCGCGGGCATCCCATGTGGCTTGCGCAACAACCAGCGGTGGTTCTTGCGCTGCCATCGTCCATGACAGTTTGGGCCAACTATTCTGGTCCCGCCGTGCAGAACTGTTGGGTACGTCGCAGGGTAATTTCGAGAAGGGGTCTCTAGAGTCCTCGACCCTTTCCCCAGGGCGCGTTGTTGTTGCTTGTTGTTGTTGTTGTTGTTGTTGTTGTTGTTGTTGTTGTTGTTGTTGTTGTTGTTGTTGTTGAAGTTTCATTTTTGAAGAATAAGTATTGTTGGTCCCCCCTCACCGGCACATGCTGTTTTTTCTTCATCAAAGTGTGCCCCTCGACGCTCGCACCTTGTTTTTTGTCAGGGGAAGTCTTGGTGCTCAAACTGGATCCCTGGCCCCCCGGATTACAACAACAACGGCTCCCGCCTGAGACTTCCTCCAAATTTACTCAGGACCCCCGCCTGAGACTTCCTCACAAATTACTCAGAATCGGTGCTCCCGCCTGTGACTTCCTCGCAGAATAGTCAGGACCCCCCCTCCCATCTGAGACGTCATCACAATGTACTCAGGAACGGCGCTCCCGCTTGAGAACTCCTCGCAATTGAATCAAGACTTCCTCGCAATGTAATCAAGACCCCCGCTTCCGCCAGAGAACCCTTCACATTGTATTCAGGAATTGCGCTCTCGCCTGTCACGTCCATGCAATTTATTCAGAAATTGCGCTTTCGACGCTCAGGAAACACGCTGCGCCAAGGACGCCGTTACAAATTACTTAGTGATCGCGCTCTGGCCATACTCAGGCATCCCGCTTGAATGTCCCACCCGCCCGACCCGCCCGTCAGGGGATCGCCCGCCCGTCGTGGGCTCCCGCCCGAGACTTCCTTCAGGAACAGCGCTTTCGCCTAGGACTTCCTCGAACGTTCACGCTCTTACCTTCCTGCTCCTCCTCCCTCTCCCTCCTCCCTCCTCCCTCCTGTCCTCCCTTCTCTCTCCCTCCTCGTCTTCCCTCATCCTTCTGCCTCTCTGCCCTATCCCCTCTCCCTCCTCTCCCTCCTCCCTTCTCCCTCCCCTCTCCTGCCTCCTCCCTCCTTTTTTTGTGTTTTCTCTCTCTCTCTCTCTGTCTCTCTGTCTCTCTCTCTCTCTCTCTTTCTCCCCTCTCTCTCTCTTTCTCTACCTCTCTTATCTGTCTTTCTCTCTCCATCTCTGCCTCTAATCAACGGCCCCCCTCTTCGCTCCTTCTCTCCTGGCGTTTTCCCTCTTCCTTCGTCCCTCCCCCTCCCTTCCTCCCACTCTCCCTCGTTCTCCCCCTTCTCTTTTTGCAGGGCCCACACCAATTCCAATGGCGGGCACATCTACGCCCACGAAGGGTTGTCCGCCCGTTCAGGTTTGCCCGCCTGTCTTAGCCCGCCGCCCCCAGCAAAGAGAAAGAATCCCCCCAAAGGGGGTGTGATCGAAAACAAGAAGGGCGGGTATCGAGGGTGTGGGAACTCGTTTTGAATGACACGCGGGCAAGTGAGAGCGAACAGTCTTAGAGTGATTGTTGTTGTTGTTGTTGTTGTTGTGGTTGTGGTTGTTGTTGTTGTTGTTGCTGCTGCTGCTGCTGCTGTTGTTGTTGTTGTTGAACATTATTTATTCTAAAGAATAATTATTGTTGGGCCCCCTGGTGCGCGCCCCCCCTGCGCCGCCTAGGCCGCAGCTACATTTTCATCATTTTCGTGAGGAAGCCTCAGAAAAGAGGGTGTGTACAGGATCCGGTTGTTTTGTTGTAATCCGCTTTCCCTTGCAAAAAACAATAGAAAATGACATTTCTTGTTCTAATATAATCAAATTTCAAGAATCCCTTGCAAAAAATAAGGTAAAGTGGACATTCGCGCGCGCAAGACGAAATCCTTCCAAAACCTTAGTGTTCGCAGCGATTTTAACATAAAAACATCAAAAAACCAATGGTTTTTCAACAAAAAATTGTCAAAATCTCATCCCGCGCGCTCTTGCGGATTCGTAGGAAACCCAACACTTTTTAAACATTTCTGTCAAACGGGCTTTTGCGAGCAACTTTTTCGAACTTCTGCGACAACGGTTGCGCACCTGCCAGGGCCATCATCCCTGTCAAATAATACCATGCGGGACACATTCGTTTTTTCTTCGCGCGCGCACGCCGAAATCTCCAAAAACCATTGGGCTTCTTAAGAATTTTAGCACCGCGCATCATAAAATCACACGAATCGCACCGTAGGTCCTCGAAAAACACCTGCACGACTTTTCAAAATTTCTACCCGCGCGCGCTGTCCGAATCCTAAAAAAACCAATGACTTCTGTGGGTTAACAAGGCTTAACAACTTCTGTGGGTGTACGAACGTAGGCTTAACAACTTCTGTGGGTGTGTACTCCACGCCAGTGTAGTAGCCACGGTCGTCCGCAGGCCACGAAGTGAAGTGTCCGAACGTCATAGGGCGGGAAGCTGGGTGTGGGTGGTGGCGAAGAGTCGTGTGGATATTTGGTAGAGCTTGCACTGCCCCCCCACAAAGTGGGGGTATTGGCTGGCGTCGCATGAAAACCCTGGCACTGGTGAGAACACTGAGCGTTCGGGTAAAGTGATTGTTGTTGTTGTTGTTGTTGTTGTTGTTGTTGAACATTATTAATTCTAAAGAATAATTATTGTTGGGGCCCCTGGTGCACGGCCCCCCTGCGCCGCCTAGGCCGCAGCTACATTTTCATCATTTTCGTGAGGAAGCCTCAGGTAAAAGATGTGATCAAGATCCGGTTGTTTTGTTGTAATCCGTTTTCCCTTGCAAAAAACACTATAAAATGACATTTCTTGTTCTAATATAATCAAATTTCAAGAATCCCTTGCAAAAAATAAGGTAAAGTGGACATTCGCGCGCGCAAGACGAAATCCTTCCAAAAGCTTAGTGTTCGGAGCGATTTTAACATAAAAACATCAAAAAACCAATGGTTTTTCAACAAAAAATGTCAAAATCTCATCCCGCGCGCTCTTGCGGATTCGTAGGAAAACCAACACTTTTTAAACATTTCTGTCAAACGGGCTTTTGCGAGCAACTTTTTCGAACTTCTGCGACAACGGTTGCGCACCTGCCAGGGCCATCATCCCTGTCAAATAATACCATCCGCGCATGTGCCCAGCATGGCACAATTGCACCATGCTGGGCACATGCGCGCCCCGAATAAGTGACCAAGTTCTGTGGGTGTGTACCCCACGCCAGTGTAGTAGCCACGGTCGTCCGCACGCCACGAAGTGAAGTGTCCCAACGTCATAGGGCGGGAAGCTGGGTTTGGGTGGTCGCGAAGAGTCGTTTGGATATTTGGTAGAGCTTGTAATGCCCCCCCACGAAGTGGGGGTATTGCCTGGTGTCGTATGAAAACCCTGGCACTGGGGAAAACACCACGCGTTCGGGTAAAATGATTGTTGTTGTTGTTGCTGTTGCTGTTGCTGTTGCTGTTGCTGTTGTGGTTGCTGCTGCTGCTGCTGTTGTTGTTGTCGTTTGTGCAAAACGGGTATATCGACCTATATAAACATCCCCCGCGGCTTTTCAACGGTCACGGCGCCCCTCGAGGGCCCCTGAAGCCTAACACCGCTCGACATCTCAGCCTCGTTTCCTTCAAGACGCCGGGGGAGGTCCGTGCTCGTGGCCAGCCCGGGCCCGCGAGCTGGCACCGGCCGACGGGGGCGGGCCGGCGCCAGAGCTTGGCATCGCTCGGACGTGTGCATTTGTCCTCCTCCCCCTTTTCCTTCTCCTTCTCCTCCTCCTCCTCCTCCTCCTCCTCCTCTTCCTCCTCCTTCGGCACGAAGCCGAAAAAAGCACAGGGGATGGGCGTCCGAGCGATGGCCAGCGAGTCCACCGGGGCTCGCCGGGGCACGCGCCCACGGACCGCGGGCCCGTCCTCAAGATCTTCCAGGCCAAGGGCGGCCTGTCCGAGGCGCAGGCCCGCGCGAAGATGGACGAGCTCCAGGCGGCGGGGGCATTTTTTTTTGGGGGGGAAAGACACACAGACACAATTCATCGTCGATTCCCTGGGAAAAGATGAGAAATACTGGCAGGGGAGGGAGACAGAAACCCAGAAAATATGGGACAATTTGGGGATTCCTGTTATTTGTGTGTATTTATTTGTGTGTCCCAGGGCCCCTTCAGTCTTGGGGGGCTCGGGGGGGCAGCGCTGGGGGTTCGAGCACTGCGGTTGTCTCACGGCGTCTGCGCAGGTGCTCGGCCCTAGGCTTGCGCCTCGCCGAGGGCGTTCGTGGGGTGCCCGCGCCGTGCCCGACGGCCGCGGGAGGGCCGAGGGATGGCCCGAAAGTCAGCGGGCAGAGCACAGGGGGGACAGCCTCATGGGGGCGACGGCGCATCGATCCCCAGTCGCCCACTGCTCGCCGATCTGGGTGCCGACAGCCCACCCCATCCCCGGGACTCTTCGGTGCGCTGTCGGGGGCCTGCCGCCGATCCATCGGCGAGGTGTCGCCGATCTCAGGTCGACGCTTCCCCCCCCGAGCCGACTCGCTCATGGTCGTCCGCGGCCGCTCGGAACGATCCGGGCACCCCCAGAACTGCTCTCGGCGAGGCGCGGCCGCTGGAAGGCATCCCGAGGCTGGAAAACTGACGAGAGGCTTCAAGCATGTTCGAAAACCTACAAATTCGAACCTCGAGCCTTCAGAGAGCCCGTCCCCTCTCTTGTGGACCCACACAGGCGGCGGGGCGCTACGTGACGGAGGTCTACTGAGTTAGAGAGAGGCCTCCTGCATGGGGTCCGAGTAGATGGGGTCGGAGGATCGCGCCGCATCGCCAATGCATCGGCGATGCATAAGCGACGTCGGCGATGCATCCATCGGCGCCGTCGGCATGGAGAAAATCGGGCTCCACAGCGAGCCACATCGGCGACTCATTGGCGATGCGGTGCGATCCTCCGGCCTCATCTGCTCCGACCCCATCTGGGAGGTCCAGCTTTGGAGGCGGCCTGGGGGTCTGAGCTGGTTGGGCACCCAGAGAATCGGTCCAGAGGTGGGATGGGGGCACATCAGCTCCAAATCGGTCCCCAGACCCCTATCAGGGTGCAGTGTAGTTTTTCAGCCCGGGCACGTCTTTGACGGCCCTGGGGGCCCGAATAGGGGGCCCCATGGAGGCCGAAAGAGAGGCAAACAAAAAGAATGTGGTGGGACCCCGCGCGCCGAACCTGCCCCCCGCCCTGCCTGTTGGCCGGCACCAGGGCTGGGCCACCTCAGACCTCCAGCCGACTCCAAGCCGAGATGAGTTGCGGCGGCCCGCCACGCAGGAGGAGGAGGAGGAGGAGGAGGAGGAGGAGGAGGAGGAGGAGCAAGAGGAGGAGGAGGAGGAGGAGAAGGAGCAGGAGGAGGAGGAGCAGGAGGAGGAGCAGAGGAGGAGGAGGAGGAGGAGCAGGAGGAGGAGGAGGAGCAGAGGAGGAGGAGGAGAGGAGGGAGGAGAGGAGGAGGAGGAGGAGGAGGAGGAGGATGAGGAGGATGAGTGAGGAGGAGGAGGAGGAGGAGGAGGAGGAGGAGGAGAGGAGGAGCGGGGAAGGGAGGAGGAGGAGCAGGGAGGAGCAGGAGAGGAGGAGGAGGGAGGAGGAGGAGGAGGAGCAGGAGGAGGAGGAGGAGGAGGAGGAGGAGGAGGAGGAGGAGGAGCAGGAGGAGCAGGAGGAGCAGGAGGAGGAGGAGGAGGAGGAGCAGGAGGAGGAGCGGGCCGCGATCCCGCGGCAGAGCGGCGCGCCGCGCCGCGGCCGAGGCGGCGCGGGCGCCCCTGGGGCGCCGGCGCACGGCGCCCGCCGCCTCCGCGGGTCGCGCCGGCGTCGGGCCCGTGCGCCGGGTGTGGCCCTGCCGGGGTCACCGCCGAGGCTTCTGAAGCAGTGGCGAGGCGCCCTGGCGAGCTGATAGGCCTACCAAATTGCAGCGGGCGGAAGACGGTGTAACATCAACTTTTCCGCCGTCGGGGACGCCTGCCCCTTGGCGGCTGGAAAGTTTCTACCCCTACGGTGCCACCGTAAGGGTATAACCTTTCCAGCCGCCCTGGGACAGGCGCCTCCGACAGCGAAAAAGTTTATTTTATACCGTTCTGATCTGGCTGGGACAGACCTGTTTTAACGCATCGGGTTTTTGTGGTATGAATCTTGTTTAGGTCTGATTGAGCAATTATGGGTTCTAAGAACATCTCGTTGTAGGCCTACAGGAATGCCGGGACGGTCGGTCCCTGCTCAAGTTTCAGGGGCAACGATAGGCATAAGTCGGGCATGTCCCTCTACAGGAGAACGATTCCAAAATAGTAATGACATGGGCTGGGAACGATCTGTCAACTACGCTTGACCCTGCTTGCACTGAAGGGATCAAGTCGAAAGATTTGGCGAAAGTTTCCCGCCGATGTTGGTAGGAGGCTGGGTTCCCGGTTTCCTGGTTCTGGGTTCCCGGGTTCCCGGTTATTGGTTCCGGGCCGGTTCCGATGGGCTCTGGGTTCCGGGGCTCCCGAGTTCCCGGTCGATCTCTTCAGCGAAAACCATCCACTGATTGGGGTTCTTCTCTGGTGCGCTAGCATAAACATAGCCTGGGAACAATATTTCGACTATATTTGACCACCCTGCTTGAGTATTTGTTGCCCGTTTTCATTTTTCTTACAAGAAATTTCTTGTAGGAGGACATGCCCGACCTAACGATAGGCATAGGCTCAGGGGGGAATGCATCGACCCCCAATCGCCCATTCCTCGCCGGTAGGGGTCTGATATCCCCACTTCTCCTGGTAACGTGCGGATGGGCTTTCGAGAGCCTATCAAGCGATCTATCGGCGATGTATCGCCGATTCCAGGTCGATATTTCCTCCCTGATCTGGTCCCCCCCTAGCGTTGCTCCTCAAGGTTGCTATGGTAAGATGGGCGGTGTAAGTGGATGTTACGGTGGGTTTTATCAAGCCTAACCTAGTGACTAAGTGGGTCACAGATGCCCTGCGTGTTTCCAAGGGGTCAGGTAACCATGCCAAGGGGCTCCGCCCGCTCAGCCCAGACCTTTCCCCCACGTAAGCCGCTGAGGCCGCTTGTATCAGCTGGGCCAGGCCAGATACACCGTGACCCACCTCTCGGCATCCACTGAGAACGCCCTCCTGTCCCCTCAGTTGCCCCGGCGGTGACCCAGTTGTCCCAGCGGTGTCCCACACATGCGCAGGCGTGACCCCGGGCAAGCGTGGCCTCGAGGTGCGCGGCTCGCCGGCCGCTGCTGTCCGCGGCGCGATGGTGGCGGCCTGCATGCTTGGGCTTGGGCACCGCACGCCACGTCTTCGCTCGGGGCTCGCCTCCGACGCGGCCTTCGTCCGTGGCGGGGGGCCACCTGCGGCCTCGGTGCCGTTCGCTGAGGCCGGCATTCCATGCCGGGCCGTTTCTGGACAGCCCCGGGGGCGGGGAGATTCAGCGGGCGAAGAACGGTATAGCATAAATTTTTCCGACGTCGGGGACACCTGCCCCTTGGCGGCTGGAAAGTTTATACCCCTACGGTGCCACCGTAAGGGTACAAACTTTCCAGCCGCCCTGGGGCAGGTGTCCCCGACGGCGATAAAGTTTATTCTATACCGTTCTTCGCCCGTTAAAAGATGGCCTCTGGAGGCCAGGACACATCGGCGCCCTGTGGTGTGGGCTCGCAGGGGGTCTCCTGCCGCCACCGGCCTGCGCGCTTGGGATCCCCCCGCGGCCCCCGGGGAAGCGTGTAGTACCAAAGGCCACTCTTGCCATGGGGACGCTCTTGCGTGCAGCCGGAGGGCGTCGAAGCAAGCCGCTGTCGCAGTTTTGGTTGCGACGCCCGGCTAAGGCAGAGGGCTTGAGGGTCACGCCTGCGTGTGATCGGCTCTGTCTCGGCGGCGCGCGGGCGGGGAGCCTGTCGGGGGGGGTGGGGGCGTCCTCTCCACGGGGGCTCCGCACTCAAGATGAGTTCGGTCTCCTCGGGCCCTTCCGTCGCGCGTCGGCCACTTGCAGGAGTTTCTGTTCTGACGATAACCCGAGGATAAATCAAACGTAAAAAAATCAACAAAAGAACACAAAAATTGGGCGGGGTCGCCGGACTCGGTCCGTTTCTCGTTCGTCGGGCGTTTTGTCGTGGAGGGCGGCATCGAGGGTTGCAATGTAAAAGGGGCCCTGAGGAAGCCCCCTTGGGCCTCGACGCTGCACGAGAGGGCCACGTTTCTCCCCCCCCCCCCCTCTCAGTTCCCCTGTTGGGCCACGCCCGAGTCTGCCTCACGGGCTCTGCGCAGCCACCCCCATCCACAGCTCGGCAGCGCAGCACCGCGCTGCACCTGCCTCTGCGAGTCGGACACCTGGCGCCCTGCCGTGGCTCCGCTCGCGCGCAGGCAGCCTGCTCCCGGGTCGGGGCCTGCCGCCCCCGTCCCCCTCGCCCACGACCGCGTGCCTGCTGCACTCCGCTCCTCTCCACGGGGGGAGCCGCGATCGTCCCCGGGTCGCTGCGGACCTGGACAATCGACTGCACGTCGCAGTGACCTTTCGCAGGAGTGAGCTTTAGTGCGGACCCAGTGGGGTCCCCCGGTCACCGAACGCGACGCGATGTAGGAGCGTTTTGCGCGCCCGGATTGGTCCCCCCCCCCACCCACCCGCGGCTTCCCCAAAAGCCGCGCACCGAAGGTCTCCCATACTTGGGGTCAATCTTGCGTGTAGCCGAGCCAAACCTCGGCCTGAAGCCACACCGCGCACGAGGCATGTGTGGCCAGACGCGGGGGCCGTTTCTGTGTTCCAGGCCCTGACGTAAGACGATCTCTCTCTCCTCCAGCTTCTTGCCACGGTGCGGCGAGCAAGTCGAAGGCCGCCGTCCGACCCATACGTCCAGCGGATCGTGTTTTGTCAATGGTTCTGGCCTCTGGAAACCCCTTTCCAGACCCGGAGACAACCAAGCATGGATCGGGGATGGAGCAGTCCCTGGGGAAGGGGTCGCCAGGCAGGCCCAGGATCATGATGTCCTTCGCGCGGGAGCGCTGCGGAACACTCGGCGCGCTCCGCAGAGCTCTGGCCGCTGCGACCGTTGCACCCACCAGACCCGCCAGCTCTCCCGATGCATGCCCCAGTCGGATCAATCTTCGTCCTGCCTTCGTCCAGCTCTGAGCCCTGCGGGCTGAAATCAGTGCGTCGGAGGTCCGTCTGGGGCGTGTCTGGCTTTCTTTTCCGGCCTCGAGGGCCCCCCGCGCGTGGTCACGGCTGGGCGCGGCCCAGAAGGCAGGCCAGAGTGGGCCCCGGGAGGGGTCCCGGGGTCCAGGGGGCCGTGCGTCGGGCGGAGTTCTGGCTGGGGGTGGGTAGAAGTTCCCTTCCCGTCCTCGTCCTCGTCCGTCGTCCGTCGTCGTCGTCGTCGTCGTCGTCGTCGTCGTCGTCGTCGTCGTCGTCGTCGGTCATTGTCGTCGTCGTCGTCGTCGTCGTCGTCGTCGAGTTCGTTCTCGTCCGTTTTGTCGTGGCGGTCAGAATGCATCACGTTCCCTCTTTAGATACACTTTCATTTACTGTTGACAGGCCCCTTCATCGTCGCCCCTTTCAATGTCGCCCCCAGTCGCGGTCGAAGCACGTCGAAACTCTTTCTGGGCGGTCGCGACTCAGAAGATTCGAGACGACCCATGACCAACACGGGAGAGGGTGTGTCAACCATTACGTGGCACGCAATGCTACCGAAATCCCGAACGTCAGATTTACGGGTACACTGCGCGACATATGCGCGTTGCCCTTCGCCTCGAGGGCTGCAGGACCACAACGCCTACGCAAGAGGCTCCCGTATTAGCCTCAGCGACGGGGCCGATCTCTTTGAGGAGGACCCCTGGGCATTGAGCAGGGCGCCCCCCGTCGCCCGCCCCCCCGCCTTCGCGGGCCGCAACTCTTCTCCACGCGCTCTTCCCACTGCTCCGGGGCCGTAGGCTCAGCCCTCTGGCGCCGCAGACCAGCTCGCGACAGGCGGGCCTGCGCGATTTCGGCACGGTGGCGGCCCTGGGGCACTCGAGGGAGGAGGGGAAGGCGGGAGGAGGAGGGAGGAGGAGGAGGAAGGCAGCAGGAGAAGGAGGAGGAGGAGGAGGAAGGAGGAGGAGGAGGAGAGGAGGAGGAGAGGAGGCGGAGGAGGATACTGGCGTGCCAAAGCCATCAGTATTGTTCACAACACGCAGGAGGATGGGGAGGAGGAGGAGGGAAGGAGGGAAGGAGGAGGAGGAGGAGGAGGAGGAGGAGGAGTAGAAGGAGGAGGAGGAGGAGGAGGAGGAGGCGCAGGATCAGGGACGAGCAGCGATGGCGCCTGTTGGTGGGGTCCGAGTCGTGCCGGCGAGCCCTCCAGCCCGCGGAGGAGGTCCCTGGAGGCCTCTGGAGCCCACGAAGGCCCAACGAGGACCCGCGGACGTCCAACGCCATCGATCCTCGTCGCCATGAAGGACGAACAAACAAATACACATATACATATATATATATATATATATATACACACATATCGAATGGCCGGGGGGAAGGTTTTAGGTCTCCAGATCGTGTTTCCCTCAGGGCCCGTTGCTTTCATGCCAAGGCAGAGCCGCACAAAAACACAGATTTGTTATCTTCGCCGTTTTCTTTCTACTTCCTCTCCCCTCGTCGAGGCCCCTGGGGTCTACACTGTGAGTTCAAGGAGAACGCGGCGTGGGAGGTCTGGGTTAAGCCGTCCTCGGCCCCTTTTTTCTTCCAGGCGGCCGAGCGCTTCTCGGCCGCCTCTGTTCTGTCACGTTATGGCATTTTGGCCTGCAGGGAGCCGATGCGTGCCGCATCTGCCCTGTGGTAAATATCGAGTGGCCTTCGGCCCATCCCGCCACGGTGCCTGCTTGGCGGACGCATACACGTTGTTCATTTCTAATTATTCGAGAGATCTTCGATTTTTGGGCGACCCAGATCCTGTCATTCCTAATTCTTCTATGCTGGGCCTCTTCCTGGCCACTAGGGGGCCAGGAAATATTAGAAACGAGCACACTTAGAAAGTATTCACACGATCAGAAAGGAACGTCGTGCATGGGAGGGATCCTGTGGGCCCCTTGGTGCCCCCCGGGGGGGGGGGCACCTGGCGTCCCCTGTGGGGGCCTCTCGGCGACCTCGTGGTGAGCCCCTTTGGGGGGGCTTCTGCGCGCCCCTTTGGGGGGGCCTGCGGCCCGCCTCGGGGCGCCTCTCGGGGGCCGGAGGGCTCGAGGGGCAGGCTCGTGCTCTCCGTGCGGCCCTCCCTTCGGGGGCCGCCTTCGGGCCGTCTTCGGGCCGTCTTCGGGGCCCCATCGGGGGCCGGCCCGAGGCCCTCTTCGGAGCCCGTTGGGTCGCGTCGGGCGATCTCTCGAGGGCCCCGTGGATCGTCCTGGAGCGTCGGCCGCCCGAGACGGCGAGAACGCTCAAGCATTCGTCAAACAGTACACATGGCTCATTTCTAATTCTTCAAGAGTTTCTCGATTTTTTGGGGGCCAAGATCCTTTCATCTCTAAATCTCTAATTCTTCTATGCTGGGCTTCTTCCTGGCCGTCAGGGGGCCTGGAACAACTAGAAACGAGCACAACTAGAAATGAGCACGATTAGAAATGAACGACGTGTAATCGGAGATTCATGGTATTGGGTGATTTGGGGCCCTCTTGGGCGGCTTCTTGGAGCATGCTTGGGGCTTATCGGGGGCCTCTTCCGCTGTCTTTGGTCCATCGTGGGCTGTCTTCAGTCCCTCAGGGGCCGTCTTGGGCGCTCTCCAGGACCGTCTTGGGCGCTTCCCTGGAGACTTTCGCAGGCTCGTCGGGCCGTCCTGGGCGGATTTTCCGTCCCACGTTCGTCGGGTCGTCCCGGGCGGGTTTTCCGTCCCAGAGGCCGACGCGAGACACCGTTGCAGCACCCAGGAGCGACCAGGCACTCTGGGAAGATCGTGGCCCGTACCCTTCGAGAACATGTTGCAATCCGTCAGGCTTGTACACCTTCGTGAGCCTTGTGGCACTCCACTTCGTGCTGAAGGCACGATGGCGGATCTAGAAGATGTATGTTCCCAGGCCTCCAGCGTCCCGAAACAGAAGCCAGAGCGGTCCTGTGGGGCCGAGCCCGCCGCTTTCTGGCCGCGGGACCGTCAGAGCATGCCCGGATTCGCGGGGCCATGCATTGAACAGAAAGCACGGCGTCGGAGGTCTGGGATGCGGAGCCCACGTGCTTCGTGCCTGGAGCAGCTGGCTGTGCCGCGTCCGCTGCTCCGGGTCGGAGGGTGGGGGGGGAGAGGCGACACCACCACCACCAGCGGGCCAGCTCCAGCGAGGCCTTCCGCCTGCCACGATGCTTCCCTGAGTCCGAGGCTGAAGGCGTCTCGAACGGGAGGCCACAAAACAGGGGGACCAACTAGGAGGACCTTCCCTGGCTCCTCGCGATGGAGGTGGTGGTGCCGCCTTTTGGCCCATCTCCGCCAGCTCCAGCTATCTGGGAGCGCTCTTTTTGCCCCATCTCCGCCAGCTCCAGCTCTCCTGATGGTGCAGTCGCGTCCGATGAAGAGGTCGCCCCTGTAATTTCAAGGGTGACCTCGTGTCCTCTCTGCTAGTAGTGCTATCTCTAGTAGAGAGGGCACGAGGCACTCTGTATTGGGCTTCACACCATGCGTGGCGCTCAGACGTGGTCTCCACTTCGAGGGATCCAGGCATTCTAAGTGTTGCAAAATGTCGTACGCGGGTTCTGGCCTCCCAAGGGCCATGTTTGGGCCCCGGGATTGTTCGGGATGAACAGCCAGCCCTGGGGAAAGTGTCGGGACCCACGGAAGGCCCGACCCTCTTGCCCGGGGTTGGTTCTGCACCCCGTGTTCATCTTTGACGGCTTACTTGCGTCATGATGAAACTGATGAGTAATTGTATGTATGTGTGTATGTATGTATGTATGTATGTATGTATGTAGGTATGCATGCATGCATGCATGCATGCATGCATGCATGTATGTATGTAGGTATGTATGTATGTATGTATTTACGTACGTACGTACGTACGTACGTACGCATGTATGTATGTATGTATGCATGCATGCATGCATGCATGTATGTATGTATGTATGTATGTATGTATGTATGTATGTATGTATGTGTGTAGGTATGTAGGTTTGTGTGTATGTATGTATGTGTGCATGTCTGTATATGCATGCATATATGTATGTATGTATGTATGTAGGTAGGTAGGTAGGTATGGATGTATGTATGTATGTGTGTATGTATGAATGTACATGTGCGTGCATGTATGCATGCATGCATGTATGTATGCATACATGCACGCTTGCATGTATGTATGAATGCAGTTATGTATGTATGCGTATGTGTATGTGTGTATGTATGTGTGTATTTTTGTATGTATGTATGTATGTATGTTTGTACGTATGTCTATATATATATATAGATATGTGTATATGTATGTATGTATACATGCATGTATGTATGTATGTATGCATGTATGTATGTATGTATGTCTGTATGTATATGTGTGGGTATGTGTGTATGCATGCATGTTGTATAAAAGTAGGTATGATTGTATGCATGTATGTATGCATGTATGTATGCCTGTATGTACGTATATGTGTATGTATGCATGGCTGTATGTATGTATGTTTGTATGTATGTGTGTATGTATGTATACACGTATGCATGTATGTATGACTGTGCGTATGCTTGTATGTATGTATGTATGTGTGTAGGTATGTTTGTATGTGTGTATGTATGCAGGTATGTATATATGTATGCATGCATGCATGTATGTATGCATGTATGTATGTATGTACGCATGTATGTATGAATGTATGCATGCATGTATGTATGAATGTGTGTATGTATGTGTGTATGTATGTTTGTATGTGTGTATGTATGCAGGTATATATATAGATATACATGTATGCATGCATGCATTCATGTATGCATGTATGTATGTATGTATGCATGTATGTATGTATGCATGAATGTATGTATGTATGTATATATGTGTATGGATGTGTGTATGTATGTATAGTTATATATGTATGTATATGTGTCTATATACATGTGGATATTATAACGCCTCGTGAAGATTTTTGGGCCCGCGAAATCGGTGAGCCGTGGTTGCCACCCATCGTGGCCGTGTGAAGCCGCTTGGGGTCTTTGCCGCAAGGGCGTCGTATCAGTACGTTGGATGTTTGGGGACCTCTGCCCCCCCCCCCCTATTGCGGCGGCGAGCCTGGGGGGGAGGCCTACTCGGACGACCCGGAAGTTCCCAGACTTCGCTTGAAGACTTGGGCAAGCTCACAGGAGGCACGGGGGCTTCTGAGAAGTCCCGCCGCCTTCTGAGAAAGCCTTCTCCTTCTCACTTCCCCCTCGCCCGCCGCCGAGTACTGCACTAACCAAGACACTGGTCGGCCGTTGCTCGAAGTGGCCCTAGCCCAAGGTGCCTCCAGGAATTCCAAGCAGGCCCGCACGGCCTCCAGGGCACCCCTCACGAGGCCAAGGGGGCCCCAGGTCTCCAGAGTGGAGCGAAAAGCTGGGGACACCTTGGGGCCAGGGGCGCCTTTGGCAGCCCCCGAAGCGGTTACCTCGGGGGGCGTCCGGATCGCGCCCTCGGCGCTGGCCGGCGGAAGCAGGACAGGGCGCGGGCGCGCCGCCGGGAGGGCTGGCGGAAGGTGGCGGCAGGAGCGGACTCCCCCCCTCCCCAGCAGGGGCCCACCTCGGAGCCGAAGGATCCGATCCGACACCGATGGCGAAGGCCTTGCTCGGGCGGGGCTGGGACGAGGAGGAGAATCAGGTCCAGAGCATTCTGGAGCGCTCTGAGAAGGCTGCGGCGCCCGAGACATCCTCTGGAGCCGCCGGATCTCGGAGATTCTTGATTTAGCTTCAAGCGGATGTATCCTCGCCCTGGCTTCGTCTTACTTGCGGCCAGTGCCGCCGACCCTGAAGGGGGACGACGGCGACCACGACAACGGCGGGGGCGGCGGCGACGCAGATGCTGACGCGGGCCGGAGTCCTCAGGGATGCTTCTTGGGGTCTCTTCGGGAGGTTCTCGGGGGCCTCTGGGGAGGTTTTTTGGGGCCGCTTAGGAGCCGATCTCGCAGGCCCAAAGGTTCACACCAACACCAAGATCGGTGGTGTGCCTCCACCGAGGGAAGACGATCCCGATCTCGGCGATGGTGGTAATACTCTGGCTTCCGCAGTGACCGAAACATCACCACCAACACCGAAATCTGGGATCATCTTCCCCACGTGGAGGACCCCCCCTGTGCTGGTGTTGGTGCCAATTTCCAGGCCTCCACCGATCCGATATGGATATCGATTTGCTCCAGTCCGTTCCGATGCGGCTCCGATCTTCCGACGATTCGACCCGGCCCGATGCGTGCGCACGCTCTCCCTGTGGATGCCGCCGCGTCCGATTCGATTTTTCGGCTCTGGAGCCCTGCCGACTTCGCCTCGATCCGAGGCCTGCCTTGGTCGGGCCCGACTTGTCGTTGAGTCGGGCCTGTCCCTCTGCAGGAGGAATATACAAAAACACCCCAAAGAAGAATCAGGGGACGATTTTTTGATTATTCCCACCCCCTCCAGTGTTGGGTTCTCGTTTTGAATAGAGCAATGTGGTCTCCACTCTCCTTCTCCCGCCTCCCCTCTCCTCTACTCCTCCTCCTCTCCTGTTTCCTCTGTTCCACCAATATAGCTCGCGGTGCCCTGGGGGGCTGCGATCTGCGCAACCGTCGCCACTTTCGTGGGCTCCTGGGAGGCCCAGCGGAGGTACGTCCCACGCGGACCGCCACTATAGCTCGCGGTGCCTTGGGGGGCTGCGATCCTCAAAATTGTCGGCATTTTCGTGGGCTCCTGGGAGGCCCAGCGGAGGTACGTCCCACGCGGACCACCACTATAGCTCGCGGTGCCCTGGGGGGCTGCGATCCTCAAAATTGCCTGCATTTTCGTGGGCTCCTGGGAGGCCCAGCCGAGGTACGTCCCACTCGCGGTGCCCTGGGGGGCTGCGATCTGCGCAACCGTCGGCATTTTCGTGGGCTCTTGGGAGGCCCAGCGGAGGTACGCCATACGCAGATCACCACAAACGCCCCTTGTGCGTCCGTTTTGTATGTTTGCCGCTGCTCTTCTTGCGGCGCTCTTCTGAAATCACTGCTGGGCGCTCTTCTTGCGCACTGCGAGTCCTTCAGAATGCCAGTCAGCATTGAGTGGTCCTGAGTATAGTCGCCACATGTATAGAGAGGTTTGGGTACGTCGCAGAGTATTGTTTGGTGAGTTTTTAAGATTCCCAGTCCTCCTGTGTTGGGTTCTCGTTTTGAAACAAAAAAAAGCAGTGTGGTCTCCACCCTCCTTCTCCCGCCTCCACTCTCCTCCCCTCCTTCTCTCCTGTTTCCTGTGTTCCCCTCTCCTCTTCTCTCGTGCCGTCTGCGATCTGCGCAACCGTCGCCACTTTCGTGGGCTCCTGGGAGGCCCAGCGGAGGTACGTCCCACGCGGATCACCACTAAAGCTCGCGGTGCCTTGGGTGGCTGCGATCTGCTCAACCGTCGGCGTTTTCGTGGGCTCCTGGGAGGCCCAGCGGAGGTACGTCCCACGCGGACCACCACTATAGCTCGCGGTGCCTTGGGGGGCTGCGATCCTCAAACTTGTCGGCATTTTCGTGGGCTCCTGGGAGGCCCAGCGGAGGTACGTCCCACGCGGACCACCACTATAGTTCGCGGTGCCCTGGGGGGCTGCGATCTGCGCATCCGTCGCCACCTTCGTGGGCTCTTGGGAGGCCTCGCCGCCCCCTGGGGGGCTTGCGATCTGCGCAACCGTCGCTACTGTCATGGGCTCCTGGGAGGCCCAGCGGAGGTACGTCATACGCGGGCCACCTTGGGACCTCTCCGCCCCCTGGGGGGCTTGCGATTTGCCGTTCCTCTTCTTGCTGCGCTTTTCTGAAATCGCTGCTGGATACTCTTCTTGCGCACTGCGGGTCCTTCAGAATGCCAGTCAGCATTGAGTGGTCCTCAGTATCGTCGCCACCTGTATAGAAAGGGTTGGGTACGTCACAGGGTAATTGTTTAACCTTATGTTTAATCTTTCGCCCAAAACCACCCTGTAGAGGGACATGCCCGACCTAAACTTATCGATCCGATTCTGACCGTTTCCCCCCTCCCCCCCGTTCAGAGGGCTGTCATCAGCTGGCGAGGGCGGGGTCAAGCGTGGCGCTGCCCTCGGACATGGGCGCTGCGTCCTCCGGGACGTCCTCTCTTGGTGTCCTCTCCTGTCTCCTGCCGCGACCAGGCTTTGAGTACCCTTGCCTGCCCTTTCCTGCCCCAGTTTGCACGGCCTGATCGACTTCGAAGCAGGAGGTCGTTCTCTCAGGCGATTCGAGCACGGCGGACTGCCTCTGGCACACGCAGTCTTTTGGATTTCAGGGAATCAGTCCGTACTGGATTGGCCTGGATGCACCGCGTCCTTCAGCTCCTCCTTGTCTCTCTCGTCCATCTTCCCCTCCCCCCCTCTTTTCTTGTTCCCTCTTCGTTGCTACTCAACAAGCATCCCTGAATAGTACAGCTTTCCTTTCTCCCCAGAGGATGGCCAGGGAGTAGCCGGGTCCCTCCGCACATGTTTTTTTCCACACACGGCCGCACAAATACGATTCCAAACGTTGGTCTTCCTGGCATTCTGTTTCAATCGAAGTTCTTCGATGTCTCAAATGGTGTTGCCGCTGCAACGCTGGCTTCCTTTTAGGATCGGCGTGTTGCTCCCGTCTTTCAGCCTGGCGATCTCGCCCCAGCACGGGCCACTCTTCTCGATCCGAGTCCTTCCTCATCGTCGTCGCCCCCTTCTTGCCCCTCCTCCGCCTTCCCGCCCCTTCCGCTCATTCCACTCCAGTTCCCGTTGCTGCTGTTCGTCCTCCTCCTCCTCATCCTCCTCGTCCTCCTTCCTTATCCTTCTCCCTTCTTCCTGCTCGTCCTCCTTTTTTCTCATCAGCCGCCACCTCCTCCTCCTCTTCCCCCTCTTCTTAGGATTCTAGGACGTCAGGTATGGCGCGAGCGCGCCCGGGTTGTCCTCCCCCCCTGGGCCCCTCTCCCCCCTCCTCCTCGCCTCCCCCTCCCCCTCCCCCTCCTCGCCTCCCCCTCGTCGCCCTCGCCCTCCTCCTGCCAGGCACCCATCTGCGCCCCCCTCTCCTCCTCGCCCCCCCCTCCCCCTCGCCGCCCTCGCCCTCCCCCTGCCAGGCACCCCTCTGCGCCCTCGGGCGCTCCCTCCTCGGTGCCACCCAGGTCGCGTGCGGAACACCCCGCCCTTCCCCCCTCCCCCGCCTCCTTCCGCCGCCGGGCCTCGCCCGAGGGCCGGCGCCGGGCCGCCCCCCCTGCGCAGCTGCCGCTGCGGGGGGCTGCCGCGTGGGCTCCCGCCCTCCCCCCCTCAGAGATCCAACGCATTGATAAAAGCAAGACGGAGGTTGTTCTAAACTTTCGGAGGGGCCCTCGCCGGGCCCCAAGACCGCCAACAAAACGACTCAGGATGAAGAACCGGGCCCGGGGAATGGGCCGGGACCTCCAGGGACCCCGCATTGAAAAACTCACGACGTCGGATCTCTGGGCCTGTGCGCCGGCGCACGCGTGCCGGCAGTGGGCGCTGGAGGAGCCCGGGGCTCTGCCCCATATGCGGCGCCGCCCCCGGCGGCGCTGGGACCGCCACCCCCCCTGCCCTGATCGGGCGCCTCGCGAGGCCAGCCAGTTGTAGGACCACTCCGGGGGGGCCCGTTGAGGCCAGCGTTGGGCTCCTCGGGGGGCCTAGTCGAGGCCAGCCGGGGCTCCCCAGGGCGGCTGTCCTATCCGCCCGCAGCCCGGAGCCCTGCCAGCTCCGCCTGCGGCCCCTCGGCCAACGAAGACGGGCGCAGGGGCTCCCCGAAGGGCCTCCATGAGTGCAGGCACCCGTCCTGTCGGCGTCGATTGCAATACACGCGGTTTTCCTTCCGAGTCCTGGAAGCATCGGGACGTGCAGTTTTTCTGTGGAGTTCGGGTTCCAAGACGACCGCATCCAACGGCTCGAGATCCTTGCGACATCTGGGGCCAGGCGCTCTGGACCCTTCTCGGAGGGATCGAGCCAGAACGCCAGGGGTGTCTGAAGCGGCCTTCCACGATGGCATCCGAGATGAGCATCCGTCTTCGTGCTATTCGTCTTCGTGCAACCCACACAACACCACCAACACCAACCTCAACAACGACAACAACCACACCATCTACGACAACAACAACAACAACAACAACAACAACAACAACAACAACAACAACAACAACAACAACGACAACAACAACGACAACGACAACGACAACACCAACAACAGCAACAACAACACCAACAACACCACTACCAACAACAACAACACACCAACCACAGCAACAACAACAGCAACAACAACACCAACAACAACAGCAACCACAACACCACCACCAACACCAACAACCACAACACCACCAGCAACATAAACAGCAACATCGGCAGCAGCAGCAACAGCAACAACATATCCCACCAACCAGCACCAGCCGACCTCCATTACGTGCACGCCGGCCACGGGCGGGGACACGCGAGGACCTGGCGCCGCTCGGACGCGTGCCTGTTGTTCTCGGCGCCGCATGCACGCGGCTCACCTTGCGACCCCGTTGGCGCTCCGCCTCCTCCTCCTTCTTCCCCTCCTCCTCCTCCTCCTTCTCCTCCTTGTCCTCCTCCTCCTCCTCCTCTTCCTCCCCCTCCTCCTCCTCCTCCTCCTCCTCCTTCTCCTCCTCGTCCTTCCCCCCCTCCTCTTCCTCCCCCTCCTCCTCCTCCTCCTCCCCCTCCCCCTCCTCCTCCTCCCTCTCCTCCTCCTCCCTCCTCCTCCTCCCCCCCCCTCCCTCCTCCTCCTCCTCCCGAAAGGGGCGCCCGAGCGATGGCAAAGGGGAGGTGGCGGGGGGCGGGGCGCCGAGGTCTTCGCGGGGGGCACTTCGGCGTGGCGTTCCGCAGGCGCCGCGCCCGCCCGAGCCCCGCCTGTGGCCGGCCGCCCCCGCGCGGCCTGGGTCGAGCAGCGGCGAGGCGCCCCGGCTTGCCTCCAGGCCCACCAAGGATCGGGGCGGAAAAGAGGGGGGTGATGACTAGGGGGGTGGATATCATGGCGGGGGCCATGGTATTTCCCCATATTTCGTGGCGCCTCTGCTTATTTCATCACGTCCCTGGCCCCCCCGCTGGGCCGCGCACGTGCCGCCGGTCATGATTTGCCCCCCCCCTCTTGGGCACCCCCGTCTTGGCCGCTCCCGATATGGCCGGCCGCCCCGCCGCGGCCTGGGTCGAGCAGCGGCGAGGCGCCCCGGCTCGCCTCCAGGCCCACCAAGGAATGTGCTGAGAACCTCTTTGTGTTCTGCGCCCAGTGTTCTTAGAACTGCGGGCAATGTCTTTATCCACATCCAGTGCGTCTTGGAGTTTCGGACACTCTTCCCAAGAAACATTAGGCGCACTGGATGTGGATCATAATCTGCCTCCAAAAGACTCAATGTTTATCCATATCCAGTGCGCCTCGGCCTTGCGGCGCCCCTTCCAAGAAAGTCCAAGACGCACTGGATATGGATATAAATATTGCCCGCAAGAACACTTCTGGCTCAGGCTGACTCCTGTTTCCGGGAGCGCGTTTTTTTCTTCTCGGGGCATGCTGTTGTTCTCTATAAGAAGATGTCGTGGTAGGCCTCTGAGGCTGCCGGGGGCGGACGCCCCGCCGCGGCCCGGGTCGCGCAGTGGCGAGGCGTCTCGGTTTGCCTAGAGGCCCACCGAAGACAGGGTAATTACGGCTTGAATCCGGAGGCCTTGCTTTTCAAAAGGGGCTCGGTCGTTCCTTTGGCTTGCGTGCGTTCCGCTGCCTCGTCGGCGGCGCGCGCCCCCCTGGTGTTCCTTCAGATTTTGGCCGCGCGGGTTTGTTTTGTCGACGAGGGGGGCTGGTCTAAGGAACGGGGATGGTCGAAGGAGAAAAAGTGGCTTCGTTCCTTCTGTATCGTTCCTTAGGTCAGGCCGACTACTGTAATGTTATAAGAACTTTCTGTGTTTTGCGCGCGGTGTTCTTAGAACACTTCTGGCTCAGGCTGTCTCTTGTTTCAAGGCATCGGCCTTTATAGGTTCCGAGAGCGTTGGTTTTTTGTTATTGGAACATTCTTTTGTTCTGGAGATTCGTGGTAGGCCTCTAGGGCTGCCTGGACGGTCGGTCCCTGCTCAACTCGGGAGCCTTGTGACGGGGGTCAATTCAAAGGGGGGTCAGCCAGAGCGCCCGATCTTTCAGGATCCTACAGGGCCAGGGTCGCATTGACCCGGTTTTGGTTGCAGGATCCTGCAGGATGTTGCAGGATCCTTCGCGTCGGCCTGGGCTTGGGTGCAGGATCTTGCAGGATCTTGCAGGATTCTGCAAAGCCTGACTGACCCGGGGCTGGATTGACCCGGGTCAGAAGATCCCCGATCAACCAGGAGCCTCCCCAAACGCGTGGCTGGAGCTAACGGGGCCAGACTCTCTTTAGAGCCGGCTGGGGTCTGAGGTGGCCTAGCTCTGGCGTGCCAGCGAGAAGTGGGGGAAGATGGTCGAGTTTCTGGATTCAAGAAGGTTTCTTGCCTTTAACGGCCTCCGGGGGCGTTCTGGGCCCAGAGGCCGTCAAACATAGATTGAGCGTGACAAGCTTCACCAGACGGACCCCGAGAGGGGTCTGGGGGACCGATTTTGAGCGGATTCGGCTTCACCCGCCCCCCTATTGATCGATTTTCTCGAGGCCCAACCAGTTCAACCCCCTTGGCCTCCTCCAAGACCCCCTCGCATCGTGAGGGCCAGTGTTTCTCCAGATGCTGGCATGGTTGCTTGCATGGAGGGAGGGGGGGGTGGCGTGGCGAGGCCCGAAGAGAAAATCTGGACTTCACGCATGTCGGGGCTCGCTTGCACGCCTTCTCGGCCAGGCGCTGTTTGCAAGGGCGGCGACTGGGGGGAATGCCATGCAGGCAGACTTGCCTGAGTAGAAGGGACACCTCTGGGGCCGCTCACTGGGCCCTGAGGCCGTCGAACAACAGCTCTGGATGAACGGCGTATCCCGGGGAATCAGGTCGAGACCTCCGGGGGTACACGCTGTGAAAGAATCACGACGCTGGGGCTCTGCTGGTGGATCTGAGGATTGCACCGCCTCGCCGACGCATCGGCGGTGAGGCGCGATCGGGCGTCCGACAACCTCGGAAGGGGAAGCACGAGGAGTGAGGCCGCGGGCGTGTGCGTCCGCGCTCTCCGCTCCCTCCTCGCCGATCCTTCGCCCC